GGGACTGTGAAACTTAGGGAGCGAGCACGGTTCGAACGGTGCTGAATTAAACAGATTTTGCAATTGGCTACATGACCGCTGGCAGAGGTGGTGTGGGCTATAAGTTTAAAAACAGGGATGTTTTGTATGCAGGCTCTGCCCGACTTGTCTGTGTAATCAAGTCTCATCAGGTGTAAAAGTACGTTTGTCGGTTAGGGCCTTATCGTCGGATAGCACTTGCTATGGACGTCGATTACGCCGTGGTTGGACGGCGTTTGTTAGGATACCGTTGCAGGGTGTTAGCCAGCGCTGGATTGAATGGTGGGTTTTGTAGCAGGTTGTTGTCGCAAAACAGCATTCGCTGAGGCTGTTACTAGTGATTGGCCTAGTTGAAAAGGACTCATTGAAGATGCATTGCAGCAGGCAGACACCACTGAACCAGCTGCCTGCTGACCTTAAGGTCGTCGGTTTTTGTCAGCTGAATGAATCCGAACTGACGTACGCGATTGTGTTTGTAGTCCTAATCGCATCTGGCCATTTTCGTTGGTTTGCTAGTTAGTCGGCTGGCCAGCCAGCTGTTAAATGGCGGGTTTTCGGTTACATCAAACCATGGCATCCATCTGATTCTGTCGTAAGAGCTTGTCTTAGCGGAGGCGTATGGTTCTAAGCTGGATCTCATTGCCAAAAATAATTGGAAATATCCAGTATAAGCTAGGTGCTTTCAGAATAGATAGGTGAAGGGAGGGCTTAGTAGATGCTAGGTCAACCATCTAAAAACATTTTGGGTTGTCACGCCACAACTGCCAGTAACTATTACATTAGACAGCTATCTCGGAGCGCAAAACTCGATGGGTTTTCTTACAATATTTATTGCACATCCTGATCGGTGTCGTTAAGGGTCCTTGGCAGGTACAATATCACTGACCACGGCATGAACGTGCATGTGGTTTCATTAAGTAACGTAACGGGCGATACGATGTGCATAGAGGAAGGGAAAATTCACTTTTTTTTGTATCAAAGATTCAATCCTATTGTTTGAGGCAATTCGGCTATTCTCCTGCTGCTCCTTAAGACGTTGTAGTGCGCTAGGAGTTGTCGGCGCTTTTTGCACTATGAATGGCACGCTCAGATTTTTGGAACTCCTCTCCCGAACAACTGTCTGGCAAGAGCCTTAAGTATTATTGAAGAATCATTCGCGGCGAGCTAAAAATGACGGCGAAGACGTTACGACAAGGAAGTTTGCTATACTACTGCCAGCGCCAAGAGAATAGGGAAAGAAAAGTCGTGTAACATAAAGTAGTAGATTGAGACGAGTCGCACGATGGGCCAATCTGAGGATAGCTCTTCCGGATCACGGTCTGCTCACAAGCTACAGCCAAATGGCTGTAGCCTGAATCAAGCCCGTAGATAACCTAGTCGAAGTGTGTATGCTTCTGAACAGCGTCCTTGATAAAGCAGGAAGATCACTAATTCAAAATAAGCAATCGTAGGTACGGACTTTAAGCAACTTTATGATTATTCCTGTTCTAAATAATATAAGTTTGTTAAGTAAATAAATGCAAACACAACATAAGTAACGTACAATTAGTTAGCCAGTACACAGTTACTCAAGAAATCTGTCCATTTCTGAGACATCTAATGTAGGTCATTTGGAACATGTTTAAGATGTTAAACTTTCATCTATCCACCTGTGATTGCTCACATCAGTGCTAGCTCAACTCATCCGCACAGAGTTTTTATAATAATAAACTTCATACCTTTGATTTGGTACATAGACTTAATTGTTATACTTTATTTAAAGGGCTGATAATAGAAAATTAAAAAGGTGAATGTAGATCGGACATAAAGCATTAATAGCAATGAAAATAAATGTTTTTTTTTTATTTATATGACATTCTTCAGCGCCCTATGCCTCATTAACCTGATCGAAGGATAATGAGTGCTTACGTTATTTGTTTATCTTATGAATGTCGCCCCTGACTTTTTCAGCAATACGTTTTAAGTAATTGTTCTGGGCGGCCATTCTTACCGAAAATACGTAGCCCTGCAAGGCATTTCACTTCTTCTTTTCTCTACTACGGGTTTGAAAACTTTCAGAAATAAAAACGCAACACACGAGATTATCATTCATGGGTTTATTTTTTTAATATCTTTTACCTCAGAATCGCATGATTTTTTGGATACTTTGTACCTCCGGCGACCTACTGATTGAAGCAAGTAAGTGAAAGATAATGTTTCAGCAACATAAAAGGCAAATTCTACAGGTCGCACTGCTTCCGATCGAACGTATTACCTGCCCTTCGTTATTGGTCGCGGTCTACTTTCGCTATTGCTCCTTTAACGGCGTTGCCGTGCTAGCTGAGTACGCTAAGATGAACGCGCTTCCGGAAGATTTTTCTCTGAAGAACGATAAATCGCCCGCCAACAGCACTGCTTGGGTGAAACGGAGAGCTCGTACGTATTCGAATGGTTGAAAATCCCATTTCCTTTAGGAACTTTGCCCATAGCTGGAAAATCAACTCAATTAGCAGGTGCTCTCTAGTTCTTAAACAGTTGTTGGGCGAAGCTTCTGACATACGGCCACTTTATTGATACCAACTTTGTCAGCGACGGTATTATTGATGCTGTTCGTTGTTTTAGTTATAAATCACATTGTGGTTGGTTTCGATAAGTAGCCGTGGCTACTGATTTCGAAGCTCGGTTCATCCTCTCGAAAGGAAAGTCGATCGCAAAAAGATTTTACTCAGCCAAACGATCTTTAAGCCAACTTGCACGAAACAAAAAGCAGCCAAGTTTTAGCCTGAATATTGAATGGGGGGTTACGGTTAGTCTGACTCAATCGATCTTCTCTGACCACGGCCACTTTGAGCTTAAGTAAAAAAACTCATAGGAATTCAAAGTTCCCTGTATTTCCTGTTTAATTGTCGACGATCGAATTTTACGTAGGAATGCTGATCATGAGTATCTTAATGATTATTACAGTTTTAATGATACTTTCTCAAGTAACTGTTAGAAGTAATAGCGATTTTCAGAGAAAGATCAAGTAAAAAAACAACGATAATCGTATAAATCTATAAATATTTTAGAAGAAAAAATTAAAGTGAACATTGAGTTCTTTCTTGTAGAGGAATGCGTTTTAGTGATAGGTTTTGTGGTGCCATGATGCCCTTTCAAAATTTTTACGTATAGAAAAATTCATTTACAAGATGTCCAGCAGGTGGCGTAACAAAATGACTTTTCTGTTACGCCACTTGCTGAGACTACTACAAAACGGAGTTACGTTTCCCGTGACTCTTTTTATCTCGGTGATGGGTACAATTCGTTTGAACACATTACATGGTGGTTCTGTGGTAAGTTGCGTAACCTTGAATATTTGAAAAATGCAAAAAAAAATTAGAAAAACTATTTTTTTTCTAAGTTCAGTAATTTAGCTAAGATTGGAAAGCTTTATTATAAGAATCCTCTGATATTATTAGCTTTAATAGAAAGATTCCATGACATTCGCTTCCTATGAGATTCGCGCATTTTTCTAGCAAACGACGTACTTCGCGAAGTAAAAAATTTTGCCCGCGGAAGCGACCCATTCGTCAACCAATTTACAGACTTCGGCCTCTGTTCTAGGACGTTTGCCTTCCTGACTAGGCTGCACTGACCGAAACGAATGATAATCGGAGCTGTCTTCGGGTTGTATGCCGGGTAGTGTAAAATTTTTATTGGAAATCTATCAGCGATCGCTGGGTGATCAAAACAGTATGCGACGTCGCGTTATTACGCAACAATATAGACTTACATCGTTTTTTGCTAGAACGTTTTTTCTGTCAGTTCAAACCGATCAGTTCATTTACGTAACGGTCCTCTTTAGTTCTTCCCTGGGGATTTGAGTAGCTCGCAGCATAACACCCCTTGTCATATGCAGAAATGCAGTTTTCCACCTTGAATATATTTTTATGGCGTCAAGCTGGAAAAGTCTAAACATTCCGGTTGGCACTCAGTGATGTCGTAAAAGACCAACCTTTCATCGCCGGTAGCGATCTTGCTCAGGTATGACTTTCTCTTTTGTCGTATGGAAGGTGACGAAAAATATACTGTCAGTTTTCTTATGATTTCCATTCATGTGCATAGCTTTCTTCCTTTTCTATCTTCCCTAATGCAACAGTTATCTTGTTCCCTCCTTACTGTGCAGAGAGCTTTCGGATCGACTGGGCCGTATTTTGTTTAAGGAGTGCCCGTAATTCGTCATCGTTTACGTTTTGCGGCCGTTCGAAGCGTGATTTACCGTTCAAGTTGAAATCTCATGTTTTGAAGCGATCTAAACCAAAATCGGCAAATCGTAATGCTTACGGAGCGTCCGCCTTCGATTTCGCAAATAGTCTTGGTAGCATTCTTTCGGCACGAAAATATGAAGCAGACAATGTTGACGATACATTTTTTTCGGCTCTATTACTGTTTCTTACGATACGAGTTCTATGAAAGGAACAAAGCATGCGCCCGAAAATGAAGACAGTCATCCTTGGAAGTTTCAGCTAGACATAATCAGCCTATCTGATGCTAACGCCATCTGTCGACACGAACAGATACTTTTTACTCAACCTAATAGCTGTTGATAGTTAACCTACGTACGCGTAGAACCATGATATAGGTCAGCTCTATGCACATTCATTTGGAAGATGCCGCATATGTATATATATGTTTTCAACGTCTAAACGCAGCATTCATGAAACAGTTAGTCTTACACTAGAATCTTATTTTGATGTCGTATACTCAGAGAAATGCTACTTGAACATTTATCTTACTAACAAAATCAGGTCATATGCCCAACACTCAGCGCATCACTAATTTCATGACTCGTTTCTAACCCAGAACTACATATTTACAATGTGAACACCTACGCTCCGTAATTTACATGCACGCGCTTAATTACTACACATATGTGTCCAAGAAATTTCGTATAGCTTTACATACGAATCGCGATGTCAAAACGTTTCTGTATAACCCTTCTTTGGCCATCTCTTGTGCCTTAGGTTCGCACCAATCGTCGTGCAGAGGGGTGGGGAACTTTGCGTGACGCCGCTCGAGTATTGTGTGTTTCCAGCATCGTTGATCCGTGTTGTCTGCGGTTGGCAGCGAGCCGAGCGACGTGGCTGCGTGCAATTGAGTGGAAAGCCGACTTCAACAAAGAAAAAATGCGTGTTGATCGAACAGTGATGTTTAGCTTGCTGTCACTGGTAGCTTTTATGGTCGAAACGTGCTGTGGCCAACCGCATTCGCTACCCGGTATTACTAACATCCTCGATTTGGTTATTCGACGCGCCGCACGGTTGAGCAAGGTCATCAGCGATCCTTTCATATCTGTAGCGCGGGGCGTCATCCAGAATGCCGGGCAAACACTCGTCAAGGATCCTGATGTCAGCGCTGCTTACAAAGGCGTTGTATGTAGAACGGAACGGGAAAATGAGTAGCCAATTTTCGTATATATAACAAGTAATCTGGGAATGGCATGAGAACGCGTACAACCCAAAAAGGGGTTGTTTGCAAGGTCGAAACGGATAGTAAAGAGAAATATTCAGCTTGAAAATAGAATGATAATGGATATAGCTGCTGAGCAACGCGATGCGATTTCGTTGATCTTAAGCCATAAAAAAGCTAACGGCGAGCGTGGTTTTTTCTATCTTTGCTACCTACCCAAGAAACATACCAACCTACAAAGAAAAATCAACTCGTTTTACAGAAACGGCTTCTGCTAGTAGCTGGTTTGCCTAGTCCCTTCAAAATGTTAAGGTGCGGTAATATCTGATTATATCGGCCCACTATGAAGCTCACACTATTTTTCGATAGGGCAGTTTTTTTTCCGTTCACCAGTGCCAAAAATTCTAAGAGTAAAGCTCATTTTCAAATAGACCGGATACATAACTGCGCGAACGTATTCTTGTTGTATCACCACGCCATGAACCCAATTGTCATTAACGATTTGTTTTTGTTTTCTAGCCATTCTACATAAAATACAAAGGGTATCCTGTAGAAGTGCACAAGGTTTCTACTAAAGACAACGTAACTCTTACCATTCATCGAATACCGCGCCAAGGGGCTGTTCCAGCTGTTCTTCAGCATGGCGTCATGTGTTCATCTTTCGATTTTGTCGCCAATCAGCCACCACAAAGTTTGGGTAAAGTCCAATGTTCAAAGTCTGTAAAAGGGAAGCTAAGACCTGTATTAGATTAAATAGCGGTAAATTTCATGTAAACGGTGGATTTCGCCTTTTTTCAAAGTAGATACAAATTAAAAGTACATATTAGGAAGAATATATTAGTTGTGCATTATTGACGAGCAGTAATCCTAGCCTTTTTCCACTAGAAGTTTTCATAGATCGGAAACGTGCTATTCAGTATTTGAGGGTTTTCAGTGTATAGAGAGAGTTCCTATAAAACATACAGATCTTCGCGTATCTCAGTAATTCGTTGTTCCGTTACGCCAGTTGAAAACTTCGAGTTGTTCTGTGTTAGTTTTATTAGTAACTTGTCCCTGGCCGCATATCTCTCTATCTAGCCGTGTATATAGTTGCGTCCCTGTTCTAACCTATTCGGTGCTCAAGTAAATAGACTTAAATAAACTCAATAATTTAATCTTTTAATTACCAAACAGCTTCTAAAAAGATATTATTCTATTTTAGGCTGGCACCATAGATAGCGATAAAGGGGTCGGCAGGTGCCTTCAAACTGTTGTCAAACGATGTCACATAATTACGGCTCTCGCTGCAACGCCTCCCGTTACGCTTTTTGGAGCATGCTTTTGATGCAATTTTTTGTTGTTTTTCGGCTATAGATCAATTCTTTTGCCACACATTAGTGATTTTTTCCATAGAGATTTGGAATATCTGCTATTTGTTGACTTTCTCAAAGCCAGCACCGAGTTAACAGGCTATGACAGCACCTGAGTGAAATAGCCCAGGGATACTTCGAGCTTTGCGGCAAAATGCGCCATCGTGCATGAAAACGTAATTTTCATCAGGCAATCATTCCCGTATCTAAGGTAGCATCTTGCCCTCGATAAATTCAGTACACTTTTACTGCTTTAGTATTTCCTGCGCAAAACGAACGTATCATCACAGTGCCTTTACGAAAAATCATAGGCACACATCTATAACTTTTAATAGATGTTCGACTTCCGGCACGACGCAGTTTTCAGAAATCGTTCGCCAACACGTCTGAAGGCGTGATAAGTGTTTTTCCTTCTAAAATTTCGTTTTTGAAATCAAATTTGTCTAAAAAACAGGTTTTTTCCTAGTTCCTAACGATCCAATTTTTGACTTATTTTGTCCAATGAGGGTAGGCTCGTTTTCTTCAATCATCTCAACCGAGGTCTCTTGACAGGTTCGCTGCCTTTGAATCCGGCCCCTTTAAGTCGGCGACGAAGCATTATTATCGACACAACGAGTCTACTGCACCTTAATTTGCTTTAGAGGATATGGTATGCGCCGAATCAACTTTCTAAGAGTTTCTAAATAACTGCAAGGTCCTGCAGTTTCGTAATATACCTTTTTCGATTATTTGTACCGATTTTACGCCATGACAGCGGGAAATTCTCCCTCAGCTACCTGGAAAAAACATTAACGTCCACATGCTGGAGGCATAAAACATTTTAGCACTTTTGTTTTGTTTTTCTTCTTTTGAGATTTTGCGTGCAGAAGCATGCAACACTACTATAAAATACTCAGACGGGTTCAGCTCGTCTATACGCCACCGCTTAGTTGATCAGCGCTAATAACAGCCATGTTTGATGATGAGATAGAAAGCGCCAGCTTTACAAAATATGAAATAATAGCACGGGATATTACTGTTGGACTCGTCGAAATCTGGTTACAGCAGCTCATGGATTGCTGAACTACAACATCTTTAATTTCGTCTTTCGTCATCTTTAATTTTCGAAAATATTTGCGATAAAGTCTTTATAAATACGTAAAGAACCAATGTAAAAAAAATAACGCAGTATTCATCGCTTTGATGCTGCGCGGTTGATCTTGAAAGTTGTAACTATTGATTGAGTTTATTTCATTGGGGATCAACCGTATAATTATGTGCACGTTCCGGCCCATAGGGACGTACGTGAATACATATACAGTAGCAACTCCATTAAAGTCAGAGTGCTAGCCGGACATGTAGCTACTTTTTCACAATAAACAACTACAAATAGAACAGAAGGAGTGAAAGATTATGGAGTTAATGTGTTTTTTGAGAGCTTGCCAGAAAGGCCGGTACCTAAAACCGACGGTTATTCACCGCTTGTCGATATACCTCCAGGGGCTACCAAAGTCAGTCCACCGCGTACGGCTGTCACATTCGTAGACACTCCAATCCTGTCCTATCTTTTAACCAGAATAATGGGTGCCTCGCCCGGTGCTTCCTTTCTCCTTTGAGGTCATCGCCTTGGTCGCTTTTTACCCATGCGATCCCCCAATGTTGTCTTTTCCTCTCTGTCGCTTAGACGACAAGTCTACTTCATATAAGCGAACGCTATAAAGTACTACTGCTTGACATTGCCCAGTGTTATACTAAAACATCGAAATATGATCAGCAACGTTGTGTCTGGCATGCGTAGAAAAGAAGAGGGAAGAAAAGCAAACGGTCGGCTCAAGAAGGTAACGAGCGAGAAGTACGCCGAGATTCCTTTTTGTCTCCGCATATGCTTTAGCCATGGTTTTCTTGCTTTTATTATATGTCAGTCATAGAAAATGCAAATTGAAAGAGAGATGGTAAAGTGACAAGAGTGAGTAAAGGATAGGAATTTTGGCAGGCCAAGGGGTTTACAGGGGAAAAGCAAGGGAATGGCAGAAGAACCGTGACCTCTAACCATAATACTGGATAACGAATGAGTTACTATCGTCATTCTTAGCACTCAAGAACCATACAGAGCAGCGTACGCTAAGCTAGTTCAACCTCGGACCCACCGCAGCACTCGATTCTTGGCGTTCTTCCTCCTCGGAAGTGCCCTTGCCCCACTTCTCACCGAAAGAGACGGGGCTTCTCTCTTCGACCCTCACCTTCCGCTGCTCTACTTGTATAACTCACTACACAAAGCTGCCAGCGTTGCACGGCGTGTTTTAACACGTGCTTGAGTTTCTTTTCCACACTTCTGTATGTAAGCTGCTGCTTCTGTTGTGGCTAGTGCAGTTGCCGCGAAGATAGGCAGACTCGAATGTAGCAGCGAGTGGCTGCTATATATATATATATATATATATTGAGACAGTAGGGGGGCGTTTGCCACAGTAGTAGCGGCGGCTGTCTAGGGTCGAGATTCGAGACTCGTGGTTTGGCTTCTCTCGCTCTGCGTGGCAGACCGAAGTCGAATTCAACCCTTTGCTCACCACGGTCTCGAGAGGGAAGTTGGCGTCAAGCTCTAGATCTGAAAGGGATGACACCTCACGGGGGATTGGAGTGGGCGTCTCATAGTCAGTGGGTCGCGTATGAGGCTGTGGAAGAGAATGGCGGCGACATTAGCACTAACAACATGAAGAGCAACGACGGCGATAACGGTGAAGTGATGATTATAATGAGCGGAGGATGGATTGAGTACAGTTGAGCAGCAAAGAACAGCCAGCAAACGGTTCGGCTACTTTTGCTGCTGCCGGCTACAAGGAATAGTCATGAGGAAAGGCAAAGTAGCTCAATGCAGGGACGTCAAAATCAGCACAGAAGCCACTCAAACATGGAAGCAGCACCGGAAACACTGCTAGCAATGCCTACTACTCGCCTTTCTCAGGCACAGAGAGTCGAACTGACCGGGCTGGCACTCGTTGGTTGGCAAAAGGTGATGGGAACGGATGATGGAAGCTGGGGATGTCAAAGGGTCTCTATTCTCTATTTCATTTTCCTATATAAAGGACTACCGAAAAGGGATCAAAAGAAGAAGGCTGTTTCCGGTTTTTGCGTGTTTGTTTCCGGTTATTAGTGTCTGTCCTTTGGCAGGCTAGTCAGCAAGCGGGCCGAAAAGAGGTCGACAGCGTTCAAACTCGAAGAGATGAAAATAGCTAGGGAAGGGAACGATGACAAAGTGAAAAGGGAAAACTTACTTTGTAAAAAAAAAAAGAGAAAAAATAGGTTTCCTGACAAGTATGCCAAAGTCGACTGGGAATTCTATGCCAGCAGCCCTTACTAGAGACACCTTTATACTTTGCAATGCGACATGTAACACCAATATGCATAGCGTAAGTGAATGAATTATTTAGGAATTACGTCGATTGCCATTTAAAGACGGCTTCAAAATGGTGGCAGATATACATATATATATATATATATATATATATATATATATATATATGTGTGTGTGTGTGTGTGGGGGTTAACTATCACTGTATTCTGAGATGATTTACTTTCGCGATGATTTCTACCGCATATTAGGCAGTTATAAGCAGACCCTATGGATTTCGAAATTGAACAGTTTTTAGCTACACGTTGTTAGTAGACGAAATTTTGTAATAATAAATACTCTAGTTCTCTAGAAACATGTGAATGAAATCCAGTTGAGTTTCCTTTAGGAGAAATGAGTTCAGATGAAAAAAAGTTTTTGTCGTTCGCAAGCCACAGCGCTGCAGACGTTTATCGAAGATTGGTGAAGACGCTACACATGAGGACAAAAAGGCCTTAAACGAAAACACAGTACGTGAATGTTGCAAATGTTTTACGAACGGAGGTTGGTATTGAAGCTAGGTGACGAGATTGTCAGATGTCGGGATCCGACGGACAAGAACGCATTGCCACAATCGTAAAGGCCTTTCGTCGGAACAGAGCTTCATGTCTAAAAGCGTTGTTGGCCAAAGCTAGCATTTTACATAAAATATGTTACAGAGTTGTAACCCAAATACTGAAAATGTAGAAATTGACTAAAAAATGGGTCTCTATAAATTGACTCCAGGCTAGTTGAAAATGCGTGTGGTGTCTTCTACGTGCAATTCGCGAAACTTTAATCAACAAAAAACCCACCTGGAGCATACGATCGCCATAGACACGGCATGGTTAAATCTTTCCCGCCAGCTGAAGAGAAAAGGCAAGATAATAACGTCGTCCAGGCGAGAAATCGAGTTCGATGGCGGTGTCGAGTAGGTTCACACGTAAAACGATGGCAGTACCTACAATGGATATCAGGGACATCTGCTACTATGAGTTACTCGCCAGAAATGAAGCAATGAGTGCAGTCTGCTATCTTAAGCTTGTCAATGGAGTCATGGACCGTTGGCACTGTAATTGAAAGCGCGCAGTCTGACTACTTCATAACAACGTCAGACCTCATTGTTATGCCACAAGCACTTCCTGAATTGAGCGAAGGATTATCCAACGTTAACTTCAACCTGCTTATTCATCCGATCTAAATCAGTGTGATTACGGGGCTTTCCAAAAAAGGCAACTATTTCGCAAGCGCTTCTTATTATCGATTTACTTCGAGAAGGCATAGAGAGAAAAATTGCGTATGATGGGTATATAGTTATCTAAAGGCTGCCAGAACGCTGGGGGCAAATGTGAAAACAATAGAGTAAAGGGTTTATAACACATATTGAAAGTCATCACTTTAGCTCAGTCAGTTTATAAGTTGCTCAGCTTCAAAGCTTGTCGGGGTCACTTTCTATTATAGCGTGGACTCATATTTGATTAGTATAGAATAGAAAGAACTCGACTTTCATGCATTACACAGGCAGACACGTGTGCGTGTTGAACGGGCTGAAGACGCGTAATAACACTAACAAATTTACTAGGACGATCAGCAAGTACGAAGATCGCTGACCACTCGTTTCTACCTGATGTTCGGCGCATCTTATTCACAGCCAAAGAAATACGTACAAATTTGAATTAGCACACGCGTCAGGTTTTGTGAGAATGTGCGCTATGTGAAGATAAGAGCTACAATGTACCGCACACTTGTTTCCTAAAAGGTCGTTCCTGTGGCCGAGGCGTCCGATTAAAGCCGTCACGAAGGGTCCACTATTCAGCCCGCAAATACTAATGTTAACTCCTCTTCCTTCCCTCTCGTCTAGGCCGCATTGTATCACTATTGTCATGTCACATTAGTTTTAAAGTGCATTGCAGAGTAGCAGAAGTCCGCTATTATGGAATGCTATCAAGAAAATAACAATGATTCTATTCATCCGTAGCTCTTTTGTAGTTTAGCTCAACGCTTGTTATACACACAAACACTATCTAACTGTAGTACCCTCACGGTTCTGCCTGACTGAACAGACCCAGTCTTTAAGAAGGATAACCAAATAATCCAGATATCTAAATCCAAATAAATAGAGGCCACGTTTTTATTCATATTTAACTTTAGCAATAATAGCAGTATATAGCTGACTTTTATCATTTTAGGGGATATCAAAGAAACCGCAGTTGAGTTCCAAATGGGCGACCCAAATTAGGATTACGTAACTCCGTGATGCACGTTCTTGTGGCCCGTCCGGAATCACCGTTCCAACGAGGCACACCTAGCTTCTTGGAGTAAATAATTTGGATTTATGAAATGGAATATTCATTTGGATATAATGTTCAGAAGATACTACGGAGGTACTTAGTCCATTAGACGCATTGACTGAAGAGAGAATTCAGAATCCACATCTATTGGGTTCCCTTAATGTTACATATAATGGGACTTTATTTAGGCTGGTTCTGGTGCAGCGTCTGACAACGTCTATATCTTGAAACGAATTGGTTTTCTACAACGTGAACTGCATCAGGTAGCAACTCAAGCATCTATCTACTTCCGCTACACAAATCGGTCCTTTTAGCGACTGATTTATACTGGTGTTAACGGTACTAAAAAAGGAATAATTAGCAAAGTATTCTCGAGAGAGAAACGATCTTTCTCAGTTCAGATTTAAATGTTCCAAACTTTTTTTCGGACGGTGCTCAAGTGAAGTTCGCTTGGGACGGCTGGTCTGAAAATACGATTACGAACCATTGTTATCTCGGCTAATTCTTCCATCTATCGCCTTTTCCTAAGACAGTAAAGGCGATCCTTCGTTTGTTGTTAAAGGCTTCACATTTATTGCATCTATATTGTACACATTAAAGTAGTTGATCTAAATCTTAATTCTTAAATCTGCTACTGTATTTGCTAAAAAAAATTTAAAAAAAACACTCGTACGTTGTCTACAGTTTATGCGAGTTGAAAATATTCACCCAAAAATACTATATTATATGATAGCCTTGAGCTGATTGTATTTTTTTTTACCTCCCAGGTTTTATCCTTTGGGATGCCGGCTACGACGTATGGATGCTTAACGCACGGGGCAATATCTACAGCAGTGATTCTGCTAAGTCCCGACAAAGATTCTACGAATATACGTGAGTGCCCTCGTCGAGATTTTTCATTCACACAACACATGAAACTGGATCAAGGTTCTAAGTTAAACACCAGTCCAGTATTGCGCTTAAGCATCGCCTCAAAGCGAATGTACAGGTAACTTTACAGAACTGAAGACTAGCATGCGTATGCTAAGCCGGATTCGATGAAACACTATTACAGTATAAAAATGAAAAAAGTACTTCAGCTTTACAAAGTAAGTATATATGATAACTGTAATTAGCGCACTTGTGCTCTATAACAGACATTTTTTACCTCCATCAGTAGAGGACTAACTTATATCAAAGTGCATAATTATGTCGATGAATTTCCTGACAGATTCCGACGGATGGGCTTGATGTGAAACATATACATAGGAAACACTTACATCGGCGCATCACGACATACAAATAAGTTTCAGCTTCCACTATGTATTGATTCTCAGGATTTTCTAGGCAAACGATATTAGTAGTAATACGATCGACACCTGAAGAAGTCTGGCTGCCTTTCTCCTCTAGAGGCCGCAGAGTCTTGCTGCTATTGTCGAACAGCGGTGACCTGCCTAAAATAAGTTTCCATTTCAATCTGACCTCACCGTTGTCGAAGAGGAAACCGGATGGGAGTACTGGCTGGCAGCGGACTGGGAGTTTAGGGTTGGCTCAAGCGACTATTAAAGCGGCCTATACAGCCTGGCCCTGGCTGTCGCTTAGGCTGAGTTTGTGGACCCATGTTGTTACATTCTCCCTCTTGCGAACGCCCTTCGTACGATCCCCGCAAAGTGTCCCGCTAGGAAACAGTAGAGGTAATGGCAATTGTGGATGGACAGCAGAAGATGCGATTTGTCCATTGTCGAACCGATCTACCGACTTGACGGTAGCGCTGCCGCTATGGCCTAGCTTCTAACTCAGAGGCTACGGAACTAACATTAGGAGGGCGACAGAGGTGAACTCGTCTCGGCGCTATTGAAGGACGAGTGTACCATGTTGAAAGCGTGCTAGCTACGTAGCTACTAGCAGCTGCTTTTGAAATAAAAGAAAAACATAACGGTGCTCGAGTAGTACAGAGTTAACGGGTTACAGGGACATATAACGTTTACTTATTAAAATACGCAGACAATATTTAAATTTGCGATGTTGGCCATCATTGCTTTAGAAAATTGTCTATCCCAGGTTCGAATTGTATGCGCTGACTTTATAATTTCTTTTTCGTAGTTGAGTCGATGCTAGAGACTTTTCCAATCATCGAAGTTACGCTGTCTAAAGCGAATAATTCTATATATAAAAAATTAACCGTGAAGACAGCGAATACTCGGAGGAAATAATTGGTTCCAAAAGTAACTTGTAGTCGACGTTTTTTCAACCTCGGAAGTCAGCGTTCGCAGCAGAAGTGATAACTCAGAACTTTAAATTTAATGGATTTCTAAAATTGTTAAATCGTTTCCATGCGTAAAATTTGATATTTCAGCGCTAAAGAAACTTACAAGTTCAAAATGGTCTATCTAACAAACACCAAATTCCACCTCCTAGGCATTTGTGACGCATTATTCTAAAAATAATGACTCAAGAAATAGTTTTTTTCTCAAATTTGTTGAAAAATTACTGTAAGACGCATATACATGTAGGCCGATCTTCTGCATTATCTTACCACGAATAAAGGTACGGATTCGGTTTGTATTCAGTTTCATTTTATTGCCTTGAAAGCGTACTCACACACAGGAGTTCCTATTTATACCAACCATTTCCAAATTTGATTCACCTACAAAGTCCAACATCTTGCGATATGTCCTAAGGGCTTTTCTGCTATGACTTAAGCGGGTACCTGCTTCTTTTTCTCGCCTCTAGCTTCCTGGCTCGACCCCTCTCGTCATCTGGCTCCATAAAATTGTTGTTAGGCGCATGCGTCGTTGAGCCGCTTAATATGCGTGCATCATGCTTGTTGCTATATAGACTCCCCAAAAAGTTACTGCGCCGTCCAACGGAATGAGTCGCACTGCTCATGCCCACTACTCATCTGTATCTAGCGAGCTATCTGTATAAGTTTTTTCTGGTGCTTTTGGCACCGCTTCGCTGTGGTAAGCCCTTCTCCGAGTGAGTTTCGACCTGAGGGACGCATCGTATTTAAACGACGAGTCATTGGAGGAGATAGCGGTGACAGTCATAGTACTGCTGAGAGTGATGCTTGTGCTTGAGGAATAAGAAGGCAGTCTTCAATCGACAACAGTGCAGTTGTAGCTTCCGGCGCTACTTAAGAGCGGCCCTGTGCTGATTCGTGCATTGTTTGCTCAACAACGATGTACGTCAACAGGTACACCCAATCGGATCCGTCTCTCCGAGCAAGGCACCTCTAAAATTCGGCGTCACTTCTAGCTCATCACCACTCTTCGCTGCTGTCGTTTGCTCAGTATCCCGCTCTTTAGTTCTCCTCTGACCTTCTATCCATTAATTCCAGTCGCTTACTTTGTGCTCCCGTTCGTAGTCGTTCGGTAATATTGAGTAAACTTCTTCTTTTAAGTTTAAGTTAAGTACCAGAGTATGTATTTTCTTTTTCTTGCATATAAAACTAACTTGGCGTGTTGCGTCAACGTTGTATGTACAATTCGAGTGAGAAGGCCCTTTCAGACAGCGGTGCTCGTCTACCTCGAAGTTTCCTCTGTAGATAAAGGCTTGTCTGATGCCTTCAATAGACTGGAATTAGAACAAAAAATAGGGGTACGCATATAATAATCAATTACTTTTGGATGCATTGTGTAAACATTTAATATAATTGTTAAATTAAATTAATACTGTTTTCCTCGGCGACGAAAGAATATATAAATCAACGTTTTCTACGTTTCTTCCAATGAAAAAAAAGACTAATAGATAAATATACATGTATTTGCTAGCGTATGACACAGCCTTGCAAGAAGCAGCTCTAGACCAGCAGTAGCTGTCCACTACGTAAATCTATGCGCAAATATTATATTAAAGTGAACAAAGCGCTTGACATAAGGCTGTAGACATAAAGAATAGGATCGTATAGGAAACAACTTGAAAAGAATAAGACAGGAACAGGTTGTCTAGGAGAATGTCGTTATGCGCATATAGAAAATTCAGCCAAATTTAGCGGGCTGCTTATTGTGGCGGACATGCGTTCATCAGCTATTCCTAGTAGGCAGAAATAGCCAGCGGTAAACTGATTATGACGAACAACGGTGCGTTGCTAACGAAATTTCAGCGAAAATCAGCTATTATCCAATACGTTCAGTCTGAATAAAGCTTCACTGAGATAATAAATGATCTATTTGTTCGCTTGACGGTTTACACTATTGCCACCGTTCTGAAAAATCAGAGGAATATTCGTAGGGAGCAAGCGAACAGAATGTTTGAAAGGCCTCGAAACTCATTAGAATGACCCAGCCAAAAATGCGTTCTTGTCGCACCTGGATAATTTAGGTAGAAATCAGCGGCCGTTTTGAAGGATAGAATATAAATTGCCTATTAAATAATAGATAAGCCAGCTAGTCAACGGTCTTTTTTTGCATGGACGTTTTGCATCTGTCTTGTCTTTTACCCCTCTTTTTACTCACTGACATTTTTAAACTTCTGCATTTGTCGTTTGCTATCAGCTCAAAAGTAAATCTGCTGCAGTTTTTCGAATGTAATATATCGCCCGACGCACGATCGCTGTTGAAAGATTATTTGACAATTGAGGAAGGAGTACTTCGAAAATAACTAGTGAATTGTTCAAGTTCTGAAATGAAGATGTAGTCACGATGAACAATGATTACATTGAATAAGCATGACTGTCAGAGAGGACACTTCCAGTTAATGCAAGGAAGTTCGTCGAAAAATCTGTTTATGTTTACGTACAGTCTTAGAAACAACTCATAAGAAAAAGCCCGGATTTAGATGTCTGATTATATATATATATATGTGTGTGCGTGCGGGTGTGTATATAACACAGGTCTTAAATTCCGTGCTTTGGCATTTTTATCAATCAAACGCAAGATCGGATGAGTGAAAGATATGCCGGAACTGGCCAAATCTATCCAATATTTGATGCACGCAGAACTATGCAAGCTCAAGCCCATTGTTCTGTTTAGAGGGTCATATAGATCTCATCCTGACTCCTGAGTGGTTTGGTCATTTTCGTGAGGTGTTACCTATCGAAAGTTTAAAAGTATATAGTGTATAGTTACCTGGCAACTGTGATTGTTTGTTTAAAGTAAAAGTTCTGATTAGATGGTGTTTAATTTTGATTAAGTTCTAACACATCTTGTTTATTTGACGTTACATCTCGCTACTACGCTGGACAACGACTAATCCTATTAACGTACAGTTGGGATGAATTAGCTGCATTCGATCTACCAGCAAATATCGACTACATCCTCACAACAACAGGCCACCGAAATCTTCATTTAATGTCACACTCACGGGGCACAACGGTTACCATAGCAATGCTCGCTTCGAAACCAGATTACAACGATAAGGTATGAAGATGGAAAAGATCTTTATGTCTGACGTGACGATGTACTCACGTCATCAAAGAGACAATTATTCATATAAGAGGCCATTGAAGCCCTAAAAGCATCAAAATTCAATTTACACAGCTGTTAATCAGGATAAAAAATTATGCCTTAATAATATATATATATATTTTTTTTCTTTATTTGTGCATGAGTATTATACATATTTTCTAATGCACTTCATCTATTTACATGAGAACCATAAGTCTAAGGCTTGACCGGAACACGTGTTTCTCTCGCGGGATTTGAACTAGGGGTCTCCGGCTCAGCAGCCGGAATTAGTAATCTTTTTAATAACAGAGCGCAAATATTTCACAGGTTCGATTGGCGACAATGCTCGCACCGGTTGTATATCTCGACGGTATGAGTCAGTTCTTGCAAAATATCGTCAAATTTTTTAGTAATCCAGTAATTGTAAGTATATATAAAAGAATGAGTGCTTAGAGGCGTATCTTTGCATCGTTTCTGGAAATATGATTATAGCTTAGAATCTCTGCTTACGTTCTCTTTGTTGTCAGCAGTTTAGTTCCTCAATTTCGCGATGGGGCAGACTCATAGTGCACCTCAAGGGCTGATACAACGCTAAAACTTAGCCAAAAGTCAACTTAGAAGAGTAACCTAGGCCGTAACATGAGGCTTGTGATTGTTTTGGGCGAAACTATAGTAACTTTTGTGGTATTATACCGAATAAAGCTATATACCTGAGACTGGGTTCTGCTATCGAAGAGGCTTTGGGGAGGCTTAGGAACATGTGGGAGACCTCCTCCTAAATGTAAACCTTAATAAGGAAATGGTAGAATGAAACGGAAATTGAGAATGTCACAGACTAAGCCCAACTGTTATCAGCACTATAGGGATGGCGTTTACAAAATATTCTCAGATAGAGTACGTGCAAAGTCGTTTCATCGACGACGCACAGGGACCACTTCATACTTGACGTATTCATGCTCATAGAGAGCCAAATTTTTTTTTATTGTTCACGTAACGCGTGACTACGCTCAAGCGTTTTACTGACTATTTGTGCCCGCAACAAATGATAACGATTAAAGTTGAAGCAATTTTAAAAATTTGTTCTTGACAATGATTCCTAACACGAACGACTGTCGTCGTATCGCTAGCGAACATAGGCTAGTGTATTGCGAATAGCGTAGTGACTCAATGCTATTTATTGAACTTTGCTGTGCATCGATGCTGATATTTGTTTCCCCGAAGAGCTATGCTGTTGATGTTCTTACCGAAGGTGGCCCTCTGTTCAGCAATGCTCACAACGACCCCAGTTATTTCACCTTGAACCCAACGCTTTGCTCGCTAGAGCTGTGCCCTATCACGAATGATCTCTCCGGTAACTTCTTCACAAGCAGTGGACACCATAATAAGGTACGTACATCAGGCAAATACTTGTTCTGCGAAACAGTCCGTTCAGACAGGTCTTACTTATTCAGAGATACCTGCTATTTTTATCAAAGCTCTAAGCTTTGACAAAGCCCAACGTGAAACCAATTGGCAGGCATTCGAGCATAAAAACATCAGCTAATAGGTGTTTTACCACTATCCCTCATATATATATATATATATATATATATATATGAGCGTTCATTTAACTTCAAAGTTTGGGCAAACATTCATCAGGTACAATTCGAAGAATAAGTTAGCAATAACTACGATCGATAAACTTATACACTGGTAAACATTTCGTTCCCTTATGCCATACTTACAGCATAGTGGAATTTTTGACATGCAGCCGAAGATATAACAATAATACAACCTTATCTTTTATCAAATACTATCTCTAACAGCTACAGATAACATTTATACCTTATATATAAACTCCTTGTAATCAATACACAGCTTCTGGGAGTGCCCCAGCCCAACGGTTCGCCAGTGTTCTTTCGCGATAAAGAAACAATCTGACTCACAAATAAAACTACTAAAAACAGACTACTACCATGATAACGAAATAGTGCTTAATAAATGCTATTGCTGCCGTGCGAATTCAGTGAAACCAAAGTCGATGTCACAAAATATTGCATATGTATCGAAATGCTTGAGCATAACGAGTAGTAAATATTTGGTGCATTCACTAGAGAGGTAGGACAATGTATCTTTTTTTTTTTCTTTTACTTTGCCCAGATCATTCAGATCGTATCGGTTAACCCATCCGTTTGCCAAAGCAAAATTTCTAGTCTATAGGCTTTGCTTGCCACCAGCGGTCCATCAAACTTGATGAAGCGCTTGCTCTGTCAATATTAACCGTAACTTTCTACACACATACAGAGCTGAATATTTATTTCGTATCTCTGAAAGATGGAATCAGCTCCGATGAGTGATTCCAACTCGCTAGAGCTGCCCACATGTATAAACAAACTTTTGAACTTTAAGGTATAAAAAAAATCAACTTTAAGGTATAAAAAAAACTTGTATAGTCTAAATTCACTATGGCGCTGTGTTCTAGACAATTTTAGTTTTTCTGTTTTTCTTTTCTCTGGACATTAATCCCGAAATACAGGAGCGTAGCACGGTGATTCGCAATATCATGGCATGGTAAGGAACATTTTTAAATTCAGTAAACAAGACTGAGGATCTCCATTTTGTATGATTTGCTGTTTCTTGGCACGCGTAATTCGTCATATGGAAGCAGACAAAATCACTTCTTTAGGCTTGGGGCATATAAGGCCTTTAGCTAACTAGATTGATTATACTTGGTGTCTGGGCCACCGTCACATTGTGCTAACTTACGAAGGAAGTGGGCCTGCATATGCCCGTCGATGTTGGACGATCACCGTTGGCGTTCCATCATAATTATCACGGTACTTGGCATATGCATTAGGGCTTTCCTTTTCTGAATAGACAAAGTGGCTAAGAGACCATAGGTGCCGTTATTCGTTGTAACCATTTATCGTACATTCTAGACCTATATTATTGTATATAATAACATTTACTATAAGCTAAAACATGTTTTGAAAGAAATATTGTAAACTACTTATGTCCAAATATTGAATTCAACGTCTTTTTTTTTTCCTATTTTTCCCCCTATTCTTTTACGCGTGCTATCACAGGAGCTTTACTATAAATAAAACTGAGACCTGTTGTGGAAAATGCAAAACACAGACTAACCTTTGTCTATACTAATCTGATTCTGAGGTGTGATATTACATAAGAACTGTGGAGAGTAAAAAGTCACATTCTTTGTTATATATACAGAATTTTTCCAAAATGTTTACAAACTCTAGGACTATTTCTTTAATTGCACATCGCATCATGCTGGAGGAACAGCAGCAGCAATAGGGGGGCATTTATTTACTTAGAAAACTGCTACTGTACCGCCCCAGACTGTTTTCTGGGTGTGCAGCAAATTTATTCGGTTTACGTACATCGTTGTTGCAGTGGGTGTTTAATGTGCACTCATTGCGGGTAGAAATTGTCTGCCTTAATTTTTGCTGGCAAACTAAATTCAAAGGCTAGGTCAGATTAAAAGAAAAAAATCTATGTGAAAATTAGACCTTGAAAATTTTACCGCATAAAAGTGCAATCCAGTGATCTTAATGCGAGAAAGTTCAGTAAGTTCAAAAAGGTTCTCAAAGCTTGTTACATTTATGAGTATCTACGCTGGCGGTTTATTAACCCCAATTGGGTTCTCTGTACGGCACTTAGAGCCACATTAGCCGCGTTGCTAGTTCGTTGTGTGGGCTTGTCGCAGCTTGCCAGATTTTTCACAGATCCCGTTTCTTACCGCTGCTATTACAGGATATGGCAGGACGCTTTCGGTGTTGCAGCTTCAAAGATCCGTCTAGAAGGATGATCCGGGCCGTGCGCGCTCGCTGCTCTTAGCTACTAGGCGCCTAGCTGGCGCCGCTACTTGCATATATCGCTTGGCCGGTGACACTTGCAGAGTTTCTAGTGAATGATTCATCCTAGATCGAGAGCCACAACGGCGAAAGCCGCAGGAAAAGATGCCGAACAGCCTAGAAGCTACAGCTACTCCCCTACACTGCATCCATGTATTTCTCTCCCCTTTTTCGTTCTTCCGCGTTTAAAAGGAAGCAGAAAATCGTGACATTGCGGCAATGGCTGCATTGGGAGCGGACCGGTAGGGGAGGCACTTTTGAGTCGTCTTCCTTTCTTTGGCCGTGGCAGGGGCATCATCTGCACCTAGCGGACTCCGTACCCCACACACCGCGTTGCACCGATGTCAGCCTTTAACACGACCGTCGCTGTGCACTGCCCGGAATGGAGTTTCTGTGAATACATGCGCATCCGTCTTCTATGACGCTAGAGCAAAAGTAGCTTCGGCGGCTGGCGAGTGGCGGCTAAGCATATCAAGCAGTAGAGGAACGGCCGGGGCGGGGTCGAAAAGGGTTCTTTGCAATTGAGCGAACTCAGAACTTCAAGGGTTGTATTCCTAATCCTGATCCTCACCGTTGGTTACTCCTTGGAGAGATTTCTCTCGAACGGAATCTCTTTTTGCTATCCACGACTAACAATTCACACGATCACGGTGATCAGCGGCTGATGTGAGCACCACCCGCTCAAGGCAGGTGCCTAACGCACCCACAGTCGTACCTATATGTTTTTGGTAATGGCACGCCCCCGCGAAGCGTTTCTCACACTCTATCCGATCTTCCTTTTGGTGAGCTTTCTTGTGCGCCCGTTATACTCACCTGGTGGCCGAAAAGGCCCCTGTCTGAAAAACTTCCGTGGTGTTCGTAGTTGAGGCATCGTAGTCGTCGCTATTCTCGGTTGTTCCCCGGTCGTGTCGCTGTCCAAAAAACTTCACGATATGCCGATCGCGTGCCAGAACGCAGGCGATGCTGGATTGTGTTTGTGTGCGAGTAGTTTCCCTAGGGTGCTTCTCGACGCTCTCTGCATGAGGCTTCGTCTCCGATCAACTGCTATCATTTCGATACAAAAAGGAGGGCAGAGGCAAAGGGGAGGAGAAGAAGATGGGCTGGCCTAGAACGGATGTGAGGAGGCAAGTGCGGGTTGGGAATATGCAGGATATGTCCAAACTTGTTTTGGCAGACGCTTATGTCTATTACATACATTTGTCCATACATATAAGCAGTAGAGAGTGATGGCATCAAATCGAATATCTTGCCGGGATCATAGCAAGAAAGGGACAAGGTGATGGGTAACTGGTCTTGTAAGCAAAAACGATCCAACGCATTTCTAAAATTCAGTCACGTCATTGGATGGGATACCTAGCATGTTTCGAAGGGCAGGCGACTGCTCTCGTGATGAAAAATTCATAAATAATAAATCATAAGTGGGCTGTACTCATTGTGTTTTAGTTAAGATACGAGACACATATAAGCGCTTTCTCAGGTAATTACCAAAAAAAGCATACAGAAATTTCTGTACCTGTTCTGATCAGTTAGCGGCTTAATCTTGCCGTCTTAGATCTGGTAAGTGTTCAGGTTGAAACGGCTTATCTTTATTCTATACCTGAGCGATTCGAGTGCTTACAACTACGCGTAGATAATAAAGTTTTTAAGCCAAGTATTGCTGAGCAGCCTGCTGTTTGTATGGCTTCTACGTTTGTCGCGCTAGTCGGATGATCTGTCATGGATAACCCTAGAATGTCGACTACAAGAAATGATCCGGATATTTTTGCCGCTTTCTCCGCAGTACTCGGCCTTATCACGGTCATCTGCGTTTGCTTCTGAACACTTATGCTGAAAACATAAAAAAACGCAAAAGGTAACAGTTGTCTCTTAAGAACATGACAAGATGTAGACAGATGTTTAAATACTAATAGAAAAGCCGCAGACTCCATTAATTTACATCAATGATCCATCGTGTTGCTTTCAAAGCCTGTTTTCCAATTAAGCGAATAGTCAATATATTTTCTTTATTGCGACCTATCTTGTACCAAGCGAAAATATATATATATATATATATATATATATAGGAAGATGCGTCTTACGAAAATTAAACTGCCATCTGGTGGCTGAGTTGAGTAAACTTACTAAACCGTAATTTTCATAAAATCCCTCGGGATTAGATTATGCTGGTTGGAGGCAGATATAATATATATGCAAATATGGTGCAATTAGCTTGATTACGAGTTAACGTTTTAACAAATTTCAGGCTTGTTTGCTCGTATAACTATAACGGTGGACTAGTCAATTTATTTTCTTTATTCCCGCCTTATATGTTTGATTGAAGTAGTAATAATACGTATCGGGATCGAACGGCAGCCCCGCTATTTGATTTATGTGGTAACCTCTGCTCACCTTCGACCTGATTCTATTTGACTACATCGTGTGTCATGTAAATGTAACAAACGCCATTGGATTTTTACTAAATCGTTTGAACTCATCAGTAACGTTTAGCGCATAGCAACAGCTAAAGCCCAATTCTGAACCACCCTACGATTTGCGGAGGGCCCAACAAAAGCCAGCTGGATCGGCGTCACACAGTGGCAATGAATTTTATAGCTTTACGGAAGCTCACAGTCGGCAATTATGGTGAGATAGTAACAGGTGAGCTTCCTGCCATTATTACGGCTTTTAACCCGTTTGAACTGTCTATAGCCTGCTGAATTCCTATCTTTTCATCTGACTTTAGCTACCTGCGCTCGCCATTTCAGAGTCGGCTGGCGGTATATTCAACGCATTTTCCGGCGGGGACGACGTTTAATGATCTCAAGCACTATATACAACTTCACAAAACGAAAAGATTTGCCTATTACGACTTCGAGGACCCTTGGAAAAATATAAAGGCCTACGGAACGGCGAGTAACATGTCCCCTTTGCACTTGATTTTGAGTGTTTTTCCTATGTTCGACCTCGTTGACGAGCCTTATCGGTTTTAAGCGTCTGAAGAACCTCTTTTTCTTTTTCTTTATAAATCTCTATACGTACATATGCACAGGTAGTGTCGCACACACACACATAGATATGATACCTCCGAGCATATTAATTTACGCGGGCTTCCCGCTAAAGTAACTAAGTTTAAAGGAATGCTAACAGTAGCTTTTGCTCGTTAAGTGCAATTCAATAAAAGCTAACGATTACGTCTCGCGGATTTGTATAATGAAAATACAAATAGTACGATAATGAAAGAAAATAATATAATAAGTTGTGGGCTCAGTCAGCTGAAACTTCAGAATAGAACGGAAGTCAATTTTAAACGATATTTGTTCCCCGATCTGTTGCGTTCTGCGCATTACTTATATTAGGCTCGTCCTCCGGCGTACAATTTGCAAAACGTGCGTGCGAAAATGCTGATCTTCTACGCGAAAAACGATAGTTTCATCTCGGTTCGCGACGGGCGGAAAGTTGTCGAGAGATTCAGGGACAACCTATACAAGGACACCGCCATAGAGCTGCCTCATGCTGGTTTTGTGCACATGGACTTCCTCTGGTCGATAAAAGCTAAGGAACAGCTTTATGATACCATAATCAAGCGCATGAGGGAAATAGACGGTGAAACGCCACAGTCTTAAAAATTCTGCCATTTTGATCGATGGTTTATCCTGCTTATTTATTAGCTGACGCATGTGCGCACCTCTTATTAATGTTTTTATAACTTATATATCGACAATAGTAATTAACTTAGAATTAATCACAATATAGAAAAACATCTGTGATAGACATTACTTGATGTTACATCATCGGAACTGTCGACAGACATGAAACATTATCGCAAGTTACGTAAATATATAGAACAGGAAAGCACAATGACTTCAAAATTTCTTCCGCTGCTAGTGCCTTGCTTCTGTCCATTCATGTGCAATCTAATTAAATTCGAACCTGCATCAATGGGTCACAAATTACGGTGACCGAATTACTTAGCATGAATGCAAGCGTAGATATGCGGTCCTGTAAATTTTGCTACGACAATAGGTTTGGTTAAATAGAGATGGAAGGATGAGCATACTCTAACTAACAATAAAGTAAGTAAATACTGTCTACAATTAAGTGCTGCTGCGATCTTTTTTACTCTATTAACACTATAGGTACTGATCGGATTTGTATTTCACGAGGAATACAAGGTAAGCTCATGTTCAAGGGGCAAAGTTTGTTGCAAAGGCCGTTTGATGCGCTCGTCCTTTTCAGTATCGTCGTCTCGGGTTCTGCTATGTAAAAATAGAATAATCTTTTTCCAGCTTAATAATGTATAATCCACTATAGTGCCGATAATATACGTTGGGCAAAAGGGCACAGCTATAACATACATTAAATTAGCTTAAAGTGTAGCAGACGACAGACCGGACAGTACAAATATTTCTGGTCAGATGTTACCCTGAGTACGATCTCTCGTTGCCAATTTATTATTTCTAAATAGATTGAATCGGATTCCGAATCGGTCACATATTACGTCCGACTTTTAAGGATTGATTTCTTCTTCTCATTAACCTAACATAAGGGTCCTGTGTAGAACATTATTTAAAGCGATGGAGCGACAGATATATGACGAGCTCAGCCAGAGAAGGTAGCGAAGTATATTCATGATGGTTTCACGAGTACAGCTCATCAATTTTTAGTTTTAGCAAATCTTTCTTGGCGCTCTTCCACGCCTTGTACTTCGTGGTCATCTGCTCTGGCTTATATGTTATCCTTTTCGGTCGATAATGACCATCCACGCGCGTGCCATGACATTGTTGACTTGAAGTGGTTAAGTGGTCGCTATTGTCGCGGCGAAAATATTTTTTTATTGCAATGCCAGCTGGGAACTTCAAAACGGTCATCGTCTATCCCTTGTGTCGAACCCATTTCTTTACCGTTATTCTTTGCGCTAGAAACGGCTTTTTCCTGTCAATATTTTGCAGTTATGACAGGTTTACTGCACTCATACGTTTGCATGTAAGCGTATATCCGCAGTAATTTTCTTTACGAACTCTAGATGCTCCTCTCCAAATAGCGTTAATGATAGCCCGTGTGAGAATTTCTGGTCCACAACGTGAGCGCAACCCATTGCGATACCCTTATATTGCAGTATCGTACTGCCTCGTCCTAACAAACATCCTGTAACGCTTTCTGTCAGGTGAAGTGTGAGTGCAAATAAGTGAGGTACCTATCTGCCTGTCGCACAACAAAGCTTCAGGCTTTTTATTGGCTTCGGCAAATCGTTCCCTGTCGTTCTAAGCTCGGATCTAGATGTCTGTTTCGTTCTACATTAGCCAGTGCACCGCTATTAGCAAATTGCTATAGCTTGTTTATCGACCGCATCTCAATATAACTATAATGTTGTTTTGATGTTCCTGCTATTAATTATTCGATGTATAGGTTAAAAGGCGTTGCGGGTGTGTGCGCTTTCTTTGGTATCAGGCCCACCATATAAAAAACAGGGGCCTCGGTCAACTCGTCTAAGACCTACGAATTAATTGTATAATCCAGATTACTTATTAAGACAGCATAATTCAGCTATACTGTTGACTTTTAACACATTCTTTTGAGAATTGGGTAGTATTAAAAGTGTATTTTGGGTTGTTGAATTTTGCCGAATTCATATATCTCTTCGCTCCAGCAATACAAATTGTTAAAGTTCAAGGCCTAATCAGTTTTTGAGGTTTCTATAATCATATGGCTACAAAGGAAATCAGGCAGATGAGCTGACAATACCGCAGTTTTTTGCTGAAGAAAACTGAGGTATTTTAGTAAAAATAGTAATATCGTGTGGATACTTTTATTCCAAACTAATATTGTTGGAATTGGATGCATAGTGAAAGAATCTGAAAAAGATCAGCAAATCAATATCGTTCTATAAAAGGTAAACTCAAAATTACTTATTATTGTAGATTAATGTGCGTATTTGGCAATACTGAGCGCGTTCCCAGCTATCGTGGAACCTCCTGTCGACCCCACATACGATGATCTCACAGTGATAATATTACTAATATGAGTACTATTTTAGGCAACGTACGTCACTCTAATTTAAATCATTTTCTTTGCCTTGCTTGCAGTTCCAGAAATCGACAATCATGTGAGTTCGTATTGTTCGTGATGCGATTTCCAGGGAAATTATTAGAGGTGTTTTTTTCTTGCCGCCGCCGTTGCCGTCAGATACGAAAGAACACGGACACTCGATGGCAGGCACGTGAGCGGAAGTTCGTACTAGCAGAACTCACTCGTAACGTAAAACGAAGACTGCCTTTTACAAATCGGCCATAAGTCACAAAAACAAATTGCTCTTTTTTATCCCCGTCAATTGTCTCGTACTTTTTCTTCCACCTTTGAACCGAAGCGAAGCACCGGGCCGCAAATAGATACACTTTTTTGCTATTCCTCTTCGCTTACCTCTCTCCCGACCCGTTCCCCTTTAGACCCAACCCGTGTGCCAGTTGCCCCAGCTTTTCAACTCTTGCACTACATAGAGAATCGGTTCTGAATGTATGGCACAACGCCTTCAGACGAAGCTGGATTCTCACACATACACAGTGCTCCAAAAAGAGCATGTGAACGGACGAACAATGAGGCCCGGCCTGCCTGTCTGCCTGCCAGCTTCTTGGCTTGCCGCCGGAAAATGCTATTATACTATAGCTTCTTACTCAGCATGCGGCGGTACTCCAGCACCCTGCTAACACCCTGACGCAGCGATGCCTGGCGACAGCGGCAGTCTGGTCGTCCGCTGGCCGGTCAGGAACCTCTTCTATCCCTTTCTCTTTCTATTTCGCGAGAAAAGGCCAGCTGAACCACAAACAAGGATATGGTTGTAGACCTACAGCAGGAAACTGAGAGGCGGACGAAAAGTACAGAAAAAATCGAAAAAGTCTAGGATGCGAAGGGTGTCTTAAGCGTGGATAGTGGGGGTAGTGTGTGCAGGCGTTCTGTTGCTAGGCGGGGTAAGGGATGAGAACCCGTAAGTCCAAGTGCCACAACGAGAACAAACGAAAAGCAGTCAGCCGGAGCAGTCGGCTCCACCAAACCATGGCCCTAAAGAATTTATCGCCTTCACGTGAATTGTATTTCAAACTCGCATTTACACTAGCGACCATTGGAGCCACGGCCCCCATTTCTGGTCCCTGTTAGCTGCCCACTGCCACTTGCGGCTTGTTTTCCACTGCCGTTGCTGTGTCACTTCTCCTATGTTTCCCCTATTTCCCCGCCCGTTCAATTGCTCACTTACTTTTTACTTCTTCTTTAATCTCTCTCTCTCTCTCACTCGGTCTCTCGCTTTTCTCTTCTCTTACTCACTTTCGCTCATTCCCTATTGGGATATATGTGGGCCTTGTCTGCGTGGGCCGTTGCGTACCATCCGTACGTCGTCAAAAGATGTTTGCCAAGAAGTGCCTTTTTACCAATACCTCAGATTCAAATCCGTTCCCCGTTCGTTTTTACCAAACTTTTAAAACCGGAAAGAACGAGCGATCGAACGGGTCGAAGAAAATACTGATTTAGATTATAAGAGCAATGGTACGAACGCACAAGCGAGAAATCTGAGATTCGTTGAGAATTTGGGGCGCGAATGGAACATTGTCTCGTCAGATTTTACGTGCTTCTTTTGGACCTGCCAAACACGATCGCCTGTTTTTATGCTGTACTTGGCCGTTTTATTTTTCATAAATAACTGATATTCCTACAGTACTAGGGTAACAGAATTAGTACAGCAAATATGTAATTATAGGTAGAGGTGTTAAATTGCCAGATCTAGACCTAGCATTTTTCTCGACTATCTAGAAACACCGGCCGATAACTGAAGTAGTTGAATAGAAAAAAAAGTTTTTCTAAAAAATATAAATAAATATAAGGTAACCCTTTAAGGGCTATTCATTGATGTAGAATAAGCATAGATTTCTGTCTAGGGCCTTGCATATAAGCTTGCCATAAAAATTTGCTATCATTCACTTAACCAGAAATGTTTGTGAATATATGAAGATACATTTTTCAGGCGAAACTAGAGAAGCTTAAATAATGCATTGGATATGAAAGTAGTTAGGTAGTAGTTCCTAAACTTTGCATCATTATTGAACTATCTGGTTAACCTATAAAAATTCTGTCGTTTTTTTTAAATAAAATTTGTACGAATTTTATACTAATGAATAGCCCTCAAAAATATGCACAACTTTTAAACTTAGCTGGTTGTGATTCACTATGTTAATAAACAATATATATATATATATATATACAATATTCCTACACAGCTTTATTTATGTTTTAAAAATTTATATTTCGGGAGGCACTAATTGGAGATAAAACATTGATCCCACTTTTCTAATAGTACCAAATGTATCAGCTCTATCGGACCGTTTAAGTCGTTCAGTTCTCCATTTAGGTTGCTGCGTATGGGTTGGTTTTGTCGCGACGAAGGGTCCCTTGTCTTATCCATAGAATAATTTTCATTCCACATACTTGGTTACCTCTTCCTCGCCTTTCTCGAGCATTTCCCATTTGTATGAGATCGGTTTGATTTCACAACCCACACATTAGTCGTTTTTTATGACGGTCTGTCTGGGCTCCGGCCTATTTCTCGAAGCTACCCGTCTCCTTATCGATCGATGAGACACTGTTTTTCTTTGACTGATAACTATTAAGCAATTCGGCGAAGGAGCCTCTCATTATATTTTTTTCCACGTCGAGCGAGATTTTGGGAGAGACAATAAAAATCCTGGTCTGTTCGTGTGCTTTTCACTCAGTTGATGAAGTACCCGAACTTCAGCTGTTTTTATTATTATCCACGAAATTTTCAGCAACTCGGGCTATTTCGATACAACTTCACAGGTTCGAAGTGCCTGTTGCTTGTCGAGTGTTCGCAGCTGATCTTCTTGGCCAATTGAAGAGTTGTTTGCTCCATTCGAACGAAGTAGGATACGCACACTAAACAGGTGCCATGTTTGAACTTAGATTACCATCTAACAGCTTATGAAGGGAAGAGAGCACATTCACATATTGTATAATAAACAACCAATGGAAAGGGAACATTTGAAGAGAAGCGGGCATTACTTCTTAATCAATCTGATATGGCTTTCGGGACATACACAGCTTA